AGCAGCAGCCTCGAAGCCTCATGCCAACTCTGGTGAGCGGCCGCCTGTGGTTTCTTGGAAGAAGGATGGGCAGAGAGTGGGGAAGGACGATCTGGCACTTTGTTCACTAACTTCTTTAGCTGCATCTATGATACCTTATTGCAGAGGTAAGAGAGAACATAATGTATTTTTTTTTTTACATAATGTATTTTTTAAAAAACAAATGGCTACAATGTATCTGATGTCCTGGGTTGCATTTTGCTGAAATGTGGTGCTGTATGTGCTATAAATGGTGCTGTTGGATTATCTTTCTGTGCAGAGTCTATTCCTGCATCCTGACCTGAATAAATATTTTACTCTATTCGATTAGTCACATCTTTGTTTTTCTTCTGTCATTTCCCATTCATGATTCCATGATAACGTGGGGTCCTGAAAAGGCGACTTGCGATGCAGATTTTACCTACCTCCTGAGACTTTATGGAAGATTACGCATACACACATTAAAAACGAAGCCAGCCCATTAAGACGAGACTGCAATTCTGTGAGCCAAGAAACAAAAGGAGAGAAAAGATCACAGAAAAGAGAAATGTTCAAGCCTGCGTGGAGGGATGCTCCTTCCTGATGGGGAAACTGAGGTTGGTTCCCGGTGGGCTGCAGCCCTGGCACCTCTGTGGTCAGGGATCCTTCGAGAAATTATGTGTGACTGAACACACATCACATGGCTGGTCAAGGAGAGCAGCCTGATGATTCTTGTTACTTTACAAAAGATGCAGGAGGTCTACTTGTGAATCTAAGTTTCTATGAACCCTTGAGGGCAGGGTGAACCAGTTCTGTAAGGTGTTCAGTGACTGGCCAGATTTGTCTCTAGTGGGGCTTACACCTGGGGACTCTTCAGGGAGAAGGGCTGTGGCCCTTGAGTGAGCATTTGGCACCTGACGTGTGGCCACCTGTGAGCTACCTGCAGTACTCACATTCCATGCCAGTGGTTCACAGTAAGTGGTGGCAACTGTACCACCTGGGAAGCTTTCCCAAGTCTGCATCCCCCAGATGGCCGCCCTGCCCAGTGGGGTGGGGATGGGGGGGCGGTGCAGCATCTGCTGGGAACACTGCCCAGGGGACGGGCCACACCCCCTCGCTGCAGCTGCAGTGCTATTTCGGGCTGTTGAGTGAAGAATCCATGTGCTTGTCTGCAGGAGCAGGATGTGATGGTGGGAATCGTTAAGACCCACAGTTGTTTTACTCCCTTTTTGGCTAAGTGAGGTACAGGAGACCTGTGGGTCTAACAGCTTTGGCTCGCTTGTAACTAATTCAACCGACTTTTGGTTCCCTGAGGTGTCCCAAACTCCAGCCTCGGTTTACACATGAAGCAAGTAGGCAACATGGATCTTCCTTCCAGTTCCCATCCCCAAGTGCTAGACATGGCTAGAAGGTCCAGTTCAGCATCGAAGCAGCAAAACAATGACTCGAGACATCGTTTCCATAGAGGTGGTCTCTCGTGCGAGCCCTCAACAGGGCCACACAGCTCAGTCCTGGGGAGCAAAATGCATGTCCCATATAGCAGAGGTGCCTCTCACTTGGGATTCATTCGCTTGATTACTCTAGATGCCACAGCTCTTTACCTAAAATTGCTGCTCCAAGGTAGCTCTTCCTAACAAATTGGTAAGCAGGATGTTTCTTCTGGAGACATCTTGAATCCAGTTTTTAGGGCCATGCTGTCCACTTAGGGAGAAAATGCTGTGTCAGACAGGAGTCCCCTTACCCAGGTTTCGCCACATCTTTAGCTGCAGGTGGGTAAGTGGAGAGAGGGGGAGGATTGGACTGAGGCCTCACACAACTTGTCAACTGGCGAATACTTCCCATCTGTGGAAATGAGCGTGGGTGAATTAATAGGACGTGAGTCCGATCTGACCAATTTAGGCAAAAGAGAACGTGTGAAGTCTCGAACCTGGTAATTCACCTAAGATGTAGGCCCTGGGCTGCAAGGAGAAGCTGGTGTATGGTTTTAGGGACAACTCAGCAGGTGGGGTGTCCATGTTTGGGGCAAGGTTAAGGACTTTGCTTGAACGCAAGTAAAGTTCTAATTTGGGTGTATTCTTACTAGGATTCCACACTACCTTATAATTAGACTCACCCAAGTAGCCTTTAATGATTCTAAGGGTACACCCATATGGGGTCTGGTTATACTGTTCTGGGATCGGGACCTACAGTTTTGTCCCAAAGTTTCCCCAGGTGACTGATGTGCGGACACTCCTCTGTGGGCTTGCTTCTAAGAGGCTTTCCTACACAACACGGGTGTGAGGACCCCTGGCGGGGTGTAGGAGTGTCCTGTAACAAGTACAACAACTGGGGGTTGGTCTTAGCCTCCTTGGGCAGCTGTAAGACGACACCAGGGACCGGGCAGCGTAGACACAACCTGCACTTCCGGTCTGGGATGCTGGGAAGTCTAAGGTCGGGGTCCCTGCAGATTCAGGGCCCGGTGAGAGCCCGCGTTCCGCTTCAAGACACCGCCTTCCCAGGCCAGAGGAGCTGAGGGGTCGCTCCTGGGCCGCTTCACAGGGCCACTCATCCCAGTCATGAAGGCTTGAAGGCTCTGCCCTCCTGACCTAATCCCTCCCCAGAAGCCCCACCTCCTAATCCTGTCACCTGGGGTGGGGGTGGGGGGTGGGTAGGATTTTAACGTGGGGATCTTGGTGCCACTCAAGCATTCACAGGGTCATCGTCTTAAAACACCACCGCCTCGTTTCTTTCAGTCCCGGAAGTGTGACATCATTTCCCGAGGCTGGACTCCAGGCCTTGGCAGGGCTGGGCTCCCGCCAGAGGTCCAGGTCCGAGGAGGATCCGTTCCTTTGCTTTTCCAGCTCCCAGAGCTGCGCTCTTTGGCGCGAGGGCCCTGCCTCCACCCCCAAGGCCGGCAGCAGAGCACAGGGTCACACCGCCCCTCCTGCTGTCAGCTTCCCCACGGTTCCCCTGCAGGGAAGCTGGTGGTTACAGTGAGGGCCCCGCCCGGATCCCACGTGCCAAGGCCCTCAGCGCCAGAGGTAGCATCACAGGTCAGGGGCAGGGCTCAGCCTTGGGCCCCAGCCGGCTCCCCGGACTCAGAATCTGCGTCTCAGCGAGACCTGCCTGCACACTAGAGCGGGAGAAGCATGGTGCCGTGGGGTCCTGCCCAGGTGCTACCCAAGGCCCAGGCCAAAGACAAACGGAGGGGGTGTTTCCCAGGAGCCTCTGCAGGTGGTGCTGGGTGATCAGATGAGCGGCGTTTCCCCAGGCACCGTGACTAAGTGCTCACCTAAAGGGCCGTGGCGGCCAGATGCGCCCCGAAGCCCCCGGCCCTGAGCACCGGGATGCCGGAGCTCTTGCTTGGCTTCCATAGTTCGGCACAAGGCTTGCCACTGCCACATAAAATAATTCCATTTTTTAAAAAAAGCTTTGTAAGGGGGATAAATGACGTAAACATAAGCAGTTTCTCCTGCTAACGTCAGTTTTACTCCCCCTGTGCAAGTTTTCTTGGGATCGCAAGTCAGGAGTCCGGGCGGGTAACTTTCTCACTGTGACCTATACCTGTGGTGACTCGTTTGCCATCAGATACATAAGTGAAGGGAAGGAAAAAGTGTAAGGATCACAGCCCCCAATAGTCTACTTTTTCCATATTTAAGCAACAAGGGGCAGAGTTAGCCCTTTTAAGATGTTGGATTTCACAGAAGGAAAGCAGCAAGGACCTAGTGAGCACTAGATCCAAAATGAAATTAAAAATTTCTGGGAATCACAACAATGACTGGAACCTCTGAATAATGACCAAGTTGGACAGACTCCGGGAATGGCCTATGCCCGCAGAGCCCACAGGAGGGCAGCAGTGCCACGCGGTATAAAGATTGACCCCTTTGGGGCAACCTTTCTGCAGGATCCTGGAAATGATGAAAGCAGCATTGCTTAGGTGGAAAAAAAAAAAAAATCCACGTACACAGGCACTCAATTTTGCACTGTTTCTGGAAGTCAGTAGACTATGTTACATCTTGCTTTTGAGTAGAAATATGCAAATGTTTATGCGAGGAAGCTCCTTCTTGGTTGCAGCTGGCTGTCAGGCATTACTAAATTTTAGAATACTTCAGTTGCCTATGGGTGGCTCAGGGGTTGGGCCTCTGCCTTAGGCTTAGGGTCCTGGGATACTCGGGTCCTGGGATCGAGTCCCACATCATGCTCCCTGCAGGGAGCCTGCTTCTCCTTCTGCCTATGTCTCTGCTTCTCTCTCTCGATCATGAATAAATAAAATCTTAAAAAATAATGAAGTAGGCTGAATTAATAAAACCCTAATTTGCTTTTGTAAATATAAGCCTTTGTCACCGTAAATTTATAAATTGCTTTATAAATCACTAATGCAGAAGTTCTCAACCTTAGCTGCATATTACAATCACTTGGGAAGCTTAAAAAAAAATCCCATACACCCAGGCCACATCCCACACGAGGAAGGCAGGTGTCTTCCCGGACCCAGGACACCCAGGGGGAGCAACGAGGGGCGGCGACCGAGGCCCCGAGGGCTGCGGGCCGCAGGGGAGCAGGTGCACAGCAGGTGCGGGCGAGGCCGGGGGAGGGCAGCTGGGGTCTCCCCGCAGGAAGCCCTCGAGGAGGGCGGCAGCTCTGCGCTCGGGGCGGGAGGGGGGCGCCCAGGGCCCGGCCTGCGACACCACCTGTGCTCTGGGGGAGGACACTCTGCCAACGCACACGTCGCCGCCCATACGGTTCTCCACGGCTCACGGTTTATTTTTTGCAACATCTGAAGATCCACTTTTCAAGCAGTGAACGGTAAAGACCCCTGCCCACGAGGCTTCTCCTTTCACTGCAAATCCATTCTGACAGCTGTACACACTGTTCACAGGCTCCAAGCGTTTCTTTCCATGTAATTCCATGGAACTTTCCATTTAAAGGTTTGCCCACGCATTTGTCAATATCTGACAAACAGAATTTATATTTACACATATACATCCGTTTGCCATATAAATCTACTAAAATGAAAAATCTAAATCTGAAGCAGAAATGACTATAAAAGTCCGTTTATTTTCAAAAGCATAATGATCTTTGGTTGAAAGACGCTCCATTTCGGCTTGTCAAAAATAAACAGTACAGCCATCCCTTGCTTCTAAGCAAGTGCTACGTCCCTGAAAAGTCTGGGCATGGGGATTATAAAACTTCACCGCTGTGCTTAATTCAGATTTCCTCTTTCTTTACATTCAAGCTTCTCTTCCCCAAATCCCTGCCCAGATCCCCGAGGGAACACTCGCAGCGCCTCACGAACGGGCCTTTATCTGTAGGACAATTCTTAACTCTGGTGCGCGCTCCATTCCCAATCACATCCTTCTCCAGGAAACATTTCTTTGGCCTAATTTGTGCTGCTAAATATATAAAAGTGCAAAACAAAACAAAACAAAACAAGGGGAAAAGCATCATCTGAATTCCAGGGTCCGTCCTCTGCCCATGGGGCTTCTTTGAGAGACCCTGCCTGGTGTGAGGACTCACAGGCCCCCTTCTGTTGGGCCCGAGCGTCAAATGCTACTTCAGCTGTTTGCTCTTTCTGTCCCCTTGTGTGACCAAGGCAGAAACCCCGTTTTCTTTTCTGAAATACATGGCTGAAGTTTTACTCTGGTTTTAGCCTGCGATGCTCTTAAAAAGTAAGATTCTGATACAACCTGAGGTTAACTGATGGATATATTCCTGCTAAACTCACCCCTTTCACATGACATTGTTTAAGGCTCTCTGATGTCGTACAGGAGTTCGCAACGGATTCTGAATTCCTAATTGATTTCTCAGACTGCTTACTGATGTTCTAAAAAGCGAAGCACCGATGCCATACATTTTTTAGCTTCCTTAAATCACGAAGAAATTACACTTAAAAATATATATACAATTCTATCCTCGAGCATTTTCCAATAACATTCTTAGTAATAAGGAAGTCAAATGTTCAAAATCCCAATACGCAGTGTTCTTTTTTCTAATTTTTTTTAAAGATTTTATTTCTTTGTGCATGAGAGACACAAAGAGAGAGGCAGAGACATAGGCAGAGGGAGAAGCAGACTCCCTCAATGTGGGACTCCTCCCTCTGCTTCGATGTGGGACTTGATCCCACCCTGAACTGAAGGCAGACACTCAACTGCCCCACTTTTTTCTAGTGTTTAAGGGCAGAAGCAGCATACACATATTTGTAAAGGCATTTGACACTAAACAATATCTAAAACAGAGTTGTTGAAAGAATGAATCAAGACTTGGCATTAATCTTTGAACAAAAAAGATTTTAAAATCCCTTTTTTTTAAACAATGAAATGTAATTTATCTTGAACTATATAGTTCTCTACAAATGGAGTTATTTTAAAAATTATTTCCCCACGGGACGAGCACTGTGCACTCAAGAGTGTAGTTTCCCCTGTCTCTGTGTCTCTCAGGATTAAATAAATAAAAAATTCTTAAAAAAAGAATTATTTCCCCACTTATATACTAGCAGGCATACTGTGCCGAGTTGTCCTGTAAGTGCACGTGTTATTTAAGGGAAAAGAGGCCAGAAGTTCATACCCAAATTCATACACTGTTCAAAGCAGCATCAAAGGATGGTGACTACATTCAAACCACATTAAAATGCTAGCGTTATGCCTTAAGGGTTGCATTCATGGGAGTGAAAAAAACTACAGAATAATTATAAATCCTTTTCTCCCCTTCCTGTTTTATTGATGTAACTGACATGTAACACTGTCTATGTTTAAGGCATACAGCATGAATTGATAATGTATATATTCTGAAATGACCACCACAATCAACTTAGTTGACAGCTATCACTTTAGTCACAAAAATTTTTGCCTTCCTGATCAGAACTTTTAAGATCTGGGGCACAAAAATGAGTGGCTCAGTGGCTGAGCACCTGCCTTTAGCTCAGGTCATGATCCTGGGGTCCTGGGGCTGTGTCCTGCATTGGGCCGCCCACGGGGACCCTGTTTCTACCTCTGTCTGTGTCTCTGGCTCTCTCTGTTTGTCTCTTTCATGAATAAATAAATAAAATCTTTAAAAAAATATATACATACAGCACTGCTACTGACAGTCACCAGGCCGCACGTTAATTAATCGTATCCCAGTTCTTGCTAATTTTAGAACTGGAAGTTTGTCCCCTCTGACGACCTTCATCCAATTCTGCCCCCAGCACTGGCAACCACCAATCTGGTTTCTGTTTCCAGGAGTTTGTTGTTGTTGGTTGTTTTTTAGTTTCTACAAATAAGTGAGATCATACAGTATTTGTCTCTGACTTCTTTCACTTTGCAAAATGCCTGGAGGGTCCATATATTTTGTCCTCAAGAACAAGATTTCCTTCTTTTTAATGGCTGAATAGTATGCCACCGCATTTGTACACCACGTTTTAACAATTCATCTGTCCGTGGACACTTGGGTTCTTTTGGGTTGTTTCCCTGTCTGGGCTCTTGTAAATGCTGCTGCAGTAATACAGTGCTACACAGTTATTTTGTTTCCTTTGCATATATACCCATGAGTAGAACTGCTGGATCATCTGGTAGTTCTCTGTTCTTAATTTTTTGAGGAAGGTTTATACTGTTTTCCATAGAAGCTGTGTGAATTTACTGTGGATCTCAAAAGATAAACTGATGTGTAGAAACCATTTAGCGCATCTACTCTGTTGTCGTAGCTGATTTATCCTGGCATGCACTGTACTCCACTCTAACATCACTTTTCCTATAAGGCGAGACAAAAAGTATTAAAGATAAATATCATTAAGTACATAAGTTCAATTCCAAAGTCTATTTAGAAAATTGACAATTAAAGAAACTGGAAGAGGGCCTGAACTAGGAAATAAATGACTTTTTAAAAATAATTTCAAATATGCTACTAGTCTCACTCTAGAAACCCTTCTATCCCTGTATTATATTTTTGATTCTCTCCAAAACAACAGAGCAGTATGACACAAAGTACATAGTAAATATTTTCTCACTTAAATTAAAATGAGGGCTAATGGGAAAAACTGGAGAGAAACACCTATTTTGCTTATACTGAAATTTTAAACCTGGCTCTGAGATGAAACTATTAAGAAGGTAACAATTCCACCAGGCTTCAGGTCTAACACTGCCCCAGTTAGCCCTACTGTCAAGCAAATCATATGTTTCACTAAGAAATTGTCTTCAATAACTAAGGGTAATAACATCACAATTTTATGGTAACGATAGACATCTTTCTAACATCTATTATTCTAGCCCAGTGCTGTCCAAAGAAATGTGCTGCAAATCACATGGATTAAGTTTACATTTTCTAGATGCCACGTTAATAAAAGTAAAAGAGGCTAGCAAAGTTAATTTTAATGTATTTTACTTTTAACCCAATATACGTGTTATTTTACATTTTTTATACTAAGTCTTTAGAGTCTGGTGTGTATTTTATGGTTACAGCACAACTGATACAGGACTAGGCACTTTGAAGTCCACAAGACTATCAACTATTGAATTGGAAAACACAGGTCCAGTCCCTGCCTTAGTGAAATGACTAGAAGGGACAGATGAAAACCAGCTCTGGACAAGTCAGCTGTTCACCAGTCTGTGAGCCACGGTGAACATTTCAGGGAGGCCTCCCCACCCTAAGAGCTAACTAATAACCATGTTAGTTTTGGGATACCCTCAGACTTCTTTGGCGGGGAGGCCATCAGATGAGCCACCACTGTCACAAAAATACACTTGTGATGGAGCCATTTCCGGAGGACTACTGTGAGCCAGTTGATATTGTGAGTTAGGACCGTCCGTGAATTCTCCACGACTGCCATATTCTTCTACTTTTTGGAGTCAGTACTTCTTTTGTTTGTACAGTGGTGGAATCCTGTTCTTTGAACAGAATTTTAAATAGACTCCAAAAGAGGAGAAAGACACAAAGGATTCACATAAATTTTAAGAAACACTTATTTGACAGAACAAAGAAGCAGTTTAAGGGTGGTGAAAAATCTAACCCTGGATTACTAATGATGGATGTTTTATATTACCTTCAGCATCCAACAGATTACCTTCAAAGGTTTATAGACACCTTGAAGCTCCCAACAGACTGAAAGCTACCTTCCTGGTTGGCTGTAGCCTTTTCAAAGGTCTAAGAAACCAAGAAGATTCACGGGACTGGGCGGGCCCCGACTGCCACTTCTGGTTGGTGTGTCCTATCTTCCTCTTGCTCCTGTGACCCAAGACACCACTCTGCTTTTACCAAGACATTGCCCTTCCTATTGGCCTTTGTAGAGTCTGCTCCCCAACTCTTGGCTGTAACACAAGGTAGCACCTCACACTGTAAGTGGTGAGAATCACTTCTTCTCTCCTCCCGGCCAGGGAGACACACATTCTGGCGCAAAGAGAGGAACACTTCCAATTCATTTCATTCGACAACCCAAAGTGGATTGACTCAAAGGGTCTAAGGCAAGCCAATTCAGTTTTTCAAAATCTAAGGAGTTTTTGTTTGGTTTCTCTTTGTACACTAAAAATATTCTGTTCATGGAAAACAGATAAATGCCTTTTTTTTATAATTTTTTTTGACAAATGTCTTTAAAGTTAATATTTGTGAATTGAAATTGAATGCTTTTACAAAATTAAGTGAAATGTATTTTGGTTTCTGAAAAAGGATATTTTCCCTCCCTGCACTTAAAATGAACAGACTTTATGATTATTTCTCACTGGGATAAAAAATTTCTGCACTTTTGGGTTCACAGCTACTAAGAGGTCAAGGAAGCCAGACAGTCTGATAAAAGGACAATGGAGACATTACTCAGTTGGAGCCTGTGTCAAAGTAAAAGCCTGCCAGGACATATTATTTAAAACAGGAATAGTATAAAAAAAATCAATAATTTAGCAAACAGAACAGGAATCTAAGTGTCTGCCTGGATGTTTACTGCCAATATATGTTAGTTCAGGGTACTGATACCTAAATATTCATTGAATATTTTCTGTTCTAGATAGGACATCTCTGACAAGAAACACACAAAACCAATACCTTTTAATGATAAAAGCAAACCTTTCTCTCATCTCTTCTTCTCAGAGAGAATTAAACTTTACTTCTCTGTGGCTCTCACCAGTTTGGTATGTGCTGAACAGAGGAAGGGAAGAGGGCTGAATAAAACAGTCATATCAAACCAAAAGGAAGTAGAACAGCGTCATAAGTGGGATAAAAATCAATGGCAGAGGAAAAGGGAAGAGCAGCTGACAATTAGATTCATAAAATTACAAATTTCTGATACTCATTTAGGTACTTGAAGCAGGAATTTTGTGTAAGAAGTGACTTTAACTCTGATGTCTTATAGATCACCCAGTAGATGAACAGATTCTAAATTTCTGTGCAATCTGTTTACCTCTGAATCCATTTAGCCTGATGCTAATAAAATAAACTTTCACAGTAAGACTGTGTGAGGACAAATGGCCCTTTGTCTCTCACACCTCGGATTTAGACGGAATACACAGAGCATATGTTAAATCCATGCACTACTGTCTGAGAAGTCAATGTCGTATGTTGGCAAATTGAACACCAATAAAAAATATATTTATCATTAAAAAAAAAGTCAATGTCATGACAAGGCAGACATTTTCAGGCATGTCAAGTACAGTGTCCTCCTGAGGTATATCTGTTTGCACCCCCAGGGAAGGCGTCTGCAAATCTTACGACTGGACGTCCCATTTTTCTGGGATGGATCTAAAGTCTGCTCTCTTGACTAACTACAAAATCCTTTCTTATTTATCAGTCATTTAAATTTTCTTAAGAGTTTGTTGAAAGCTCAAGAATTTGAGAGCCAAGTGGAAAAATGTTCAAAGTTGATTTGATCCTTTGGTTGCTTTGCCCCATGTCACTACCCTCCTCACTGCCTCATCTGGCCACTGGATGTAGTAAATCCCCAAACCTCCTGTAACCTTCATTGAAGCACAGACAGCTTAAAACTTATAAAGTTACTGGATCAGTCATTATTATAGAAATACGTTTCAGTTATACCAAATAATAAGTATCCTTAATAGAAAGAAAGGAAAACCTATTTAGTCACAGGTAATAAACTACATCAATTGTGTAAATAATTCGAATGGATGTCGGTAAACTCTCATTTCCCCGGGGATGATGTAACCAGAGTAGAGAAAATCATGCATTTATGAAATGAAAATCACTCCCCATATATGAACACATCAGTGTAAACCAATGGCATCCGTATTCCTGAGCTACGCAGTCATGACAAGCAAAACAGGACTCAAGCCATCACAAAGCACAGGGCAAGGAAGGGCTGGGGACTCCCAGACCAGAGAGCATGGTGGCAGATTAGTTAAGAAAGGAAACTGGAACGAAGAAGGCAAGGGTGTGTTGGTGTGGCCTGCTTCACACGCCCTGGGATCCCAATCTATTCCTAGCTGGGACTAAGGAACAGACAACCTAGCAGAACACTTTGGCATGAGGCCATGCTCATCAAATAATTCATATACGTTTGGTGCTCTGAAAAATGACAACTTACACTATTTGTGTCCTTTGGGATAGAGGCTGCAGAAGGGCAACTGTGTTCCCAAGTCATCAAGTTTACATCAAAATCCATTCTGGACCAAGTGTTAGCAGGAATCTGGGCCTGTCTGTGCCTAGTGCCCTGCTTCTAGGGTTAGCCGCTAGAGAGAGAGAAGGAACTGCATGCACCCGAGAGTCTCATGAGGAAGTTTCGAGGCAACACCACTCAGGGGGAAAGACGATGGACATGAAGCAGTGCAAAGAATAAACAGAAATCTTGTTGGTTTTTTGTTTTTTTGGTTTTTTTTTGAAAAGCAACATAAAACTAAACATTAGCCCACACTTTAAAAAAAAACATACACACAGATGTGGCATTTTTAGAAAATTCAATTATCTTAAACAGGGGAAAATTTTACCATTAAGTTTGATGGCGTTTCTTCACATTTCAAAAATATGGGTACAACAATAATATTCTCCACCCTGGTAACTCAGCAGCAGTATCACCGCGAGCTCACTGGACACAGAATCTCAGATCGGTAATGCTATGGAAATCTTTCATCTGGGGTACACTGCTCAGATAATTGCTCACTTTTAAAAGACCTGTTAACAGTAGCTACAGAGAGTATCATTAACACTTGTTAAGGAACTTGTATGTGTTTTGATGCACTGTTTTGTTTGTAAATATATTAGTTTTGTATTCATGAGAGACTCACAGAAAGAGGCAGACACATAGGCAAAGGGAGAAGCAGGCTCTGTGTGAGGAGCCTGATGCGGAACTCAATCCCTGGACCCCAGGATCATGCCCTAAGCCAAAGGCAGACACTCAGCTACTGAGCCACACTGGTGCCCCTGACACAGTGTTGTTTTAAACAAAGTAAGGGCAGAGAGATATTTTGTTTTGTTTTTTATTTTAGAACCTATTTCTACACAAAAATTTTGGACTTGTAGAAATATTTCCCTGATCATATTTCCTACTCAGAATGCTATGTATACATAATTTTACTGCTGATTTAGAAATCAAATATGCATATCATGTGTTCTACAAATATAAGATTGAAGACTCAAATGAAGGCACTGTGGGTATTAAAAAAAAAAAAAACTAAGCAGGGGCGCCTTGGTGGCTCAGTTGGTTAAGTGTCCGACTCTTGGTTTTGGCACAGGTCCTGATCTCAGGGTCATGAGGTTTAGCCCTGTGTCAGGCTCCAGGCTCAGCATGGAATCTGCTTGAACTTCTCTCTCCTTTTCCCTCTGCCCCTCATGCTTTTGCACTCTATCTCTCAAATAAATTTAAAAAAAGAAAAACTAATGTTTTAAAAGTCTGACCTCTTTATGAGTAAGTAATGTACTTTTATTACATAGCCTAAGCCAGATGATTAAATATATGGGAAAATATATCATAAAACCATGAATACCAAAGGTCTTAAAGTTATTTGTTTGATTTTAAAGCTATTTTCAAATCAATAGGGAAAAAACAAATCACTATCAGAAATTTCAAAGCACCTAATTTGGTCTGTGTTCCGGGATTTATTCTAAGTCTTTCCTAAATTATAACTCATTTAAGTCTGAGGCTTAGAAAACCTCCTCTGCTCAGAAGATATATACCGGTAAATTTTTTCTATTTTAAGCTTCCCCACCTTTCATTTATATAGATTAAGACACAGATAAAGTTAATAATGAGGTGCTTTGTAAATCTTACCCCTGTCAGCAACCCCCAACCATTTTACAGCAACCTAGTAAATTAAGAGAACATAAGAGGGAAATCAAATACTGCTGCTTTTCTTTCCCCAGTTTAACAAGGTTAAGTAATGACTCTTAAAAAAAAAAAAAAAAAAAGCAAATCAGGTTGAGAACCCATGTAGCCTCTTACCTGAGTTACATAGATAAATGGAAAATTTCATTGTAAAAATTCCAGTGCATACAACTAAGTCTCCATAGTGAATGGTTCTAAATCTAATCTCGGCCACTAGTCCAATCTAGGAAATAGGGTCAAACTAGGTGGGAAAGGACCCAGAAAGGTCCATGATTTGCTATAGAACTTAAACCTCAAATCCCACAGAGATGTTTCTTGCAGTCCTAATAGCTGGAGCCACTCTGCAGAGAGGGCTCTGGGTGCAGTGACAGTAAATGCAACCTAAGACATTTTTAGTAAAGAAATGCAACTGGGATGGCACACTCATGTAGGCACAGTTTAGAAAAACACAGCATGCGGGACAAACAGAAAAGCTGCACAAATTATGTCAAGAGTAAGAAGAACCATAAATTAGAAGGGATATGCTTTTATTTACCCTTTCTTCTTTTGTCGATACACTATGAACACGATGATGACAATGACTACAAGGCCAGCAACTACAAGAAACCAGGAAACAATATTTAACAGAGAACTGATTGTCAAGATTCAAAATTTAGCAGCAGAAATAAGTAAGTGTTGGTTGCATTTCAGTGGTCAGAAAAATGTTATTTTATTTAAACACATTATCTATTTACATTCTGTCTGGACTCTTCACTATCCAAAGCTCATTCCCTGGAGTCACTTGAACAGTCCACAGTAAACCACAGAAGAATCATTGCTTAGTTTAGAAAATTACTCAAAGCATCTTTGGAAAAAAAAAAAAAAAGCATCTTTGGGACACAAACTCATGACCAATCATCCCAAAAACACATGTAGTGTTTAGTAGGCTTTGTTACTAAGTGGACATATATAGTATAAAAGGACATATATCCACCAGCAAAACATAGTGTATTGTATACAAGGTCAGGCTGTCCTAGACTGGTGTACTTCATTTCAAGCTATATAAACTATAAACACTGAAAAGTTAAGTTTAAAATAATTTAATTTTAAAAATAAAATGTTAATTAAATAAACATATAATTAATGCACTTTTTCTGAGTAATATTTTCATTTAAGTGGCATCAAAGTTTGGGGTACTTACAGACCGAGAGAACAATCACAACAATGTATCCTTTGCCTGGGAAAAAAACGAAAACATTTTAAGGGTTGTGCACATAAGGGTGTGCATCTAACTTTGATCAGATTACCTATACACTATGGCAACAGAACTATTCCTCAGTCTGGTTCTAGCACAAGTGCTAGCACGTCCAGTTCATTCTGATCACAAAACCCTTGGATTCGGATCCCATGTTTAGGCTCCACCTTGTAAAACTGACTCTTTGTTAGGAACTTTACTTTTGATTGTTTTGTGCTATAGTTACCGTATCAGTAAAACTTAGGACAATTATTATTTAGTAGATTAGAAGAAAATTGTTTCAAAAGGGATTACTCCATTATAGTTGGTTTATTTAGTTCAGTATTCATTCCATCGTTTGTGATTTTGTTAGAAATTCATACTTTTTCCACAAAAGTGGAGTATGTGGACTAAGTCATAGATGAATTTCCATTTGTCTATCACACAGATGTTAGTTGTAGAACCTTCAAAATAATACTTTATCTTATCATGAACCCCTTCTGATCCTCCATCCCCTAAAACTAAAACATAATCCTAATTACCAAGGAAATTCTAAGTACATAAATGAAATACCAGGGCACATGGATAAAAATAATGCATAGAAACTTAAACGTTGTTTTTGACTACCCAGAAGGAAATAAATCATACTACAAAATCTTAATTCTTAGCAGTGATGTCAAGAGTACCCCTGCTTCTAAACTGCTATTATTTATATTAAAGTTCTGGAAGTCAAAACATAAAATGTCACGTTGAAGTCTGATCTTTTCATTTCATAAGAAATTATCAAGTGCTTAATACCTTAAGATCACACTGTTTTTACTGGCACAATCAGAGTCTGACTACAGTGTTCAGAGCAAATATAACAAGCCTAAAGAGTTATAAAAAGGTTAACCATATGACACTAGTCTAATATAAATAAAATAGATACTTCTCTTCATTTACTTATCAAGAAATCATTATATTTAAGTGTCACAACTATACTTTTTCTTTTCATATTCTTTAACATACATTGTGTGGACTATCTTAGCCTACATGAAGTTTGCCATGCCAGTGTGTCCTAGGAAAAACTAAATCAACCTGTAGCACTTTAAGGCATATGTATATAAGATACAAGGAGAAAGAAAACTGATCTACAAATTGCCATAAAAAAATAACACTACCACATGGACAGCAAGTTATGTTTTATGTATTTTAACCTATATATAATTATAGCATTTAAGAAAGTTACCTCACCCTACTAGGAATCCTATTTGGGGAAGTACCTCTCAATTACATTGTCTATATGTATTCACACATACTGCTGCTTACATCTGTCATGGTATCTACACTATTAAAATAACTCCAAGTGTCATTTTTTTAAAAGATTTTATTTATTTATTCATGAGAAACACACAGAGAGAGGCAGAGACATAGGCAGAGGGAGAAGCAGGCTCTGTGTGGGGAGCCTGATATGGGACTTGATCCCAGGACCCTGGGATCACTACGCCCTGAGCCAAAGGCAGATGCTCAACCACTGAGCCACCCAGGTGCCCCCCAAATGTTACTCATTACCAATTTGTGACATGCTGTTTCTTCTCTAACTACAGGTAACTGAAATATGATATTTACATGTAGAATGCTAGGGTCTCATAATACAAGGCTATTAATAACCAAAATAGTACCTGAAGTGTCACTAGGTGGTGTTTCATCACTGGGCTTGGGAGATCCTAGGGGGAAAAAAAAAAAGAAATAAGTTAAGAAAAAAGAGAGAGAGAGGAAAAAAATAAAGCGTAAAGACCTCTAAATTCATAGGTTTTGAATTTTTGCCTTCATGCAAAAACCCATAATTTTGTTTTACTTATATACATGAATGTTTCCCATTAAAAGTAGCATCATAAAATATTGTAAATTTGTATGTGATCAGCATTCTTCATATCCAGTAACATTTCCTGTGACAATATGCAACTATATTGTAAGTATATTGTTAAAATTATGGAGGCACCTGAGTGGTCAGTGGTTGAGCATCTGCCTTTGGCTCAGGTCACGATCCCAGGGTCCTGGGATCAAGTCCTGCATCAGGTTCCTTGCAGGGAGCCTACTTCTCCCTCTGCCTATATCTCTGCCTCTCTCTCATGAATAAATAAAATCTTTAAAAAATTCAAGTATTTATTGTTACAATAAATTTATGAAATTAATAAAATAAATTTATGAAATTAATAAATTTATGAAATTAATAAAATAAATTTATGAAAAAGCCATCACTAGCATCATACTCATTGGCCAAAGACTGAAAGTTTTTCCCTTAAGTTCAGGAACAAGACAAGAGGCCTGGATTTTCCACTTTCACTAAACATATTAGAAGTTCTGGTCAGAGCAATTAGGCAAGAAGAAGAAATAACAAGCTTCCAAGTTGGGAAGGAAGAAATAAAATGATCCCTGTTCCAGATGTTGTGACCTTTACATAGAAAACTCTAAGGATCTCTCTCTCTCTCTCTCTCTCTCTCTCTCTCTCTCTCACACACACACACACACACACACACACACACACACACAAAATTAGAAATAAATGAATTCAGCAAGGCTGCAGGACACAAAATCAACACACAAAAATCAGCTATGTTTCTATATACTAACAATGAACAATTCAAAAAAGGAAATTAAGAAAACAATCTCATTTACAATAGCATCCAAAACAAACAAAATAGGAATAAAACAAGCAAGAAGGTGAAGGACTGAAAACCACACAACGTAGCTGAAATGAACTGAAGATAGGTGGAAAGACATTCCATGTTCATGAATTAGAAGACTTAATATTATTAAAAATGTTAATACTACACAGAGCAATCTACAGACTGAATGCAACCCCATCACCATCTTGAATATGCATGTTGCAGAAACAGAAAAAAAAAAACAACCTATAATTCATATGGCATCTCAAGTGACTAAAAATAGCCACGATAATCTTGAAAAAGAACAACAAAGTTGGGAGGACTCACACTTCCTGATTTTAAAACTTACTACTTACTACTACAAACTACAGCAATCAAATAGAGAAGCAATTGGCAAAATACAGACACACAGACCAATGGAACAGAATAAAGAACTCAAAAAATAAACCCTTATGACTATGGTCAAATGATTCCACTAGGGGTACTAAGAATATTTAATAGAGAAAGAGCAAAATTTTCAACAAATGGTTCTTAGAAAACTGGATATCCAAACTCAGAAGGATGAAGTTGGACCCTTGCTTTACACCATCCACAAAAATTAACTAAAAATGGATACAACTAAATATAGAGCTACAAGTATATAACTCTTAAAAGAAAACATACAGAACAAGCTTTGTGATGTTAGATTTGGCAACTATTCTTGAATGTGATAACAAAAGCACAGGAAACAAAAGAAAAAATAGATAAACTGGACTTCATGAAAATCAATGGGCACTGATTTTGTCCATCAATGGACACTGTAAATAGAGTGAAAAGGCAATCCACAGAATGAGAGAAAACATCTGCAAATCACACACTTGATAAAGCACTAATACACAAAATATATGAACTCAAAAAACTCAATACCAAAAAAAAAAAGAAATCGCCAATTAAATGACTTGGCAAATGGGCAAAGGACCTGAATAGACATTTCTCCAAAGATCTGCAAAAGACAATAAGCACACGAAAAGACGACTAATCACTAATCATTAGGGAAATGCAAATAAAAACCACAATGAGAAGGTAGGCTCAGTATGTTAAGCTTCCAACTCTTGATCTCAGGGTTGTGAGTTCAGGCCACACATTGGGGTCCGTGCTAGGCAGAGCCTACTTCAAAAAAGCAAAACAAAACAAAACAACAAAAATCAATGAGATGCTACTTCACATGTGTTAGGATAGCTATTATCAAAGAACAGAAAAAGAACAAGTGTTGCGGGATGCCTGGGTGGTTCAGTGATTGAACGTCTGCTTTTGGCTCAGGTCATGATCCTGGGGTCCTGGGATCGAGTCCCGCATAGGGTTCCCCGCAGGGAGCCCGCTTCTCCCTCTGCCTGTGTCTCTGCCTCTCTTTCTGTGCCTCTCATGAATAAAAAAAGAAAATCTTAAAAAAAAAAAAAAGAACAAGTGTTGGCAAAGAGGTGGAGAAACTGGAATCTTACTGAGCAATTATACTACTGGGTATTTATTCCTAAAATACAAATGTAGTGATCTGAAGGGGCACCTGAAACCCAATGTTTATAGCAGCAATGTCCACAAAAGCCAAACTATGGAAAGAGCCCAGATGTCCATCAACAGATGAATGGATACAAAAGATATATATACACACACACAAATACACAATGGAATACTACTCAGCCATCAAAAAAAGAAATCTTGCCATTTGAAATAACATGGATGGAACTAAAAGATATTAAACTAAGCAAAATAAGTCAATCAGAGAAAGACAATTATGATCTCATTTATATGTGGAATTTAAGAAACAAAATAGCATCATGGGGGAAGAGAAGAAAAAATAAAACAAGATGAAACATAAGAAACAAACCATAAGAGACTTTTAATCATAGGAAACAAACTAAGGGTTGCTGGAGGGAGTGGGGTGGGGGATGGGGTAACTGGGGGTTGGGCATTAAGGAGGGCATTTGCTGTAATGAGCATTGGGTATTACATAAGACTGATGAATCACTGACTTCTAGCTCTGAAATCAATGATACATTATATGTTATTTAATTGAATTTAAATAAAATTTAAAAAAGAAATTGTAATCTTTGTGCATCACTAATGGGAAGGTAACATGGTATGGCCACTGTGGAAGATAGTATGGCTATTTCTCAGAAAAGTAAACACAGAATTACCATATAACGCAAGCAATTCCATTCCTAGGTAGATAGATGAACCATCAAAACTGAAAATTGAGCCTCAAACAGTTACTCAAATGCTTTTATTCAGAGTAACATGATTCAGAATAGCCAAAAGGTAGAAATGACCGAACAGATAAATGCATAAACATAATGTGGTACATAATACAATGGACTTCTTATTCAGCCAGAAAAAGAAATAAGTTTTCTATATGCTATAAGATGGATGAAATTTGAAAACATTATCCTAAGCGAAATAAGCAGAATACATTATGCTAACTGCAATAAGCCAGACATTACTCCACTTTTATGAGGTACTTGGAATAGTCAAATTCACAGAGACAGAAAGTAGAATAGTGGGTGCCAATGCTGGGGGTCAGGTGGCAGTGGCAGAAGGGTGGAGAGATGGAAAGCTGCTGTTTAGTAGGAATTAAGATTCAATTTGAGATGAAAACATTTTGGAGATACACGTAGTAGTGACGGTTATAAATAATGTGGATGCACTTACTGCCACTGAGATGTACATTTACAATGGTTAAAATGGTACAAAAGTTTATTTAAAGCAATTAACACACGGGGGCACCGCGCCTGAGTGGCTCAGTCAGTTAAGCATCCGACTCTTGATTTCGGCTCAGGTCATGATCTCAGGGCCCTGATACCGAGCCCCATGTCAGATTCTATGCTCAGCACGGAATTTGCTTGTCTCTCTCCCTTTGCTCCTCACCCACGCACTCTCCCTCTCTTTCTCTCAAATAAATAAATGAATAGAATCTTTAAAAAATTAATACACAGAATAGTCTATAAACATTTCTGAAAAAAAAGTGTTCCGCCAGATATTGAAACGTATCATAGTACTGTGATAAAAACATCATCTGGTGCTGGTGCAAGAACGTAGAGCTCAAGGGAATAGAAAGAGGACTAGAATACCCATGAATTTTATAATAAAATTTGGTACTTGAAAATAGCTGGAGAAAAGACCACTTAATCAACAGATGTTCCTACTTTGCCACTGAATGGGGATGGGTAGGGTAGAGAGGGACCCTATCTCACTCCACCTACCACAATGAGTTTCAGATGCATCAACAAATTAAATGCAAAGAATGTAATCAGAATGCATGGTTGAAATACATGTTTCAGCATGGGGAAGACCTAAAGACTTTATAAAAAAAAGACAAAACACATAGCCATTAGGGAAAAGATAAATATACCCAACTACACATATAAAAGGCCCCTGATGATATCTTAAAGTCATCATGAAAAAGGATGGGATATAATATATCTAAATACAACCCCAATCCATGAAGTGGAAAAAGTACAAGTTTTAGAAAAATATGAACAAAATGATGCCATTTTAATTTAAGAACAAAGGAAAACAAAACACAAAAATATATATAACTACACATAAAAGGATGCTTATGTACAGAAATAGATAAAAAGACACCCTAAAACTATTAAGTGATTAACTCAGGTAATGGACTAGAGAAAGAGAAAAAAAGCTAATCTTATATTCTATATAAAAGCTAATCTTTTATTCTATATACTTTTATAGTGTTTGAAATCTTATAGACTTATATTCATATGCTACTTATGTATAAAACTATAAAAAGCAATCTATATCCAATAGTATAAAAATCTGAAAAAGAAAACTGACTAGTAAAATTAAGGCAAAGGAAAAAACCTAGAAAAAACTGTTCATTTCATTAACAGGGCTTTCATTTATAATGAATTCTGACAAATCAACAAGAAAAATATTATAGAAACATAAGAGAAAAGTAAGCAAAGGACATGAATAAATCAAAGTAGACCAAAAAAAGTTCAGCTTCGCTAATAGTTAGGGAAATGCAAATTAATATATGACATCATTTTTAACCCATCGCCTTATAAAGCTCTTAGTAAAAGTAGGATACAGAGTTGCTGATCCTGGATGACTTCAACTCAGATGTATAGTCATATGAGGTGGCTTGGATTCTGAAAAAATTAATTTCTTTTGGTTCACCAACTTTATCGATACAGAATTATGGGTTTAATCTTGATTTTTGATATTAAAAAGATTGACCATTTCTCAAAGTGAAAATAATATACATTTTAAACTTTTTAATTCTACTTCTGGTAATTTGTGCAAATATGTATTTGCACAAATACATCAGAATATATGCATAACAAACTTTGCTATAGCTTTGTATTTTAAGATGTAAATTCCAGATGTTAAATGACAATAAATCATACAAATAATGGTGTTCAAAGATAGCAACTCTGAAATCTGGAAGATATTTCCTTCGGCCATAGCAAAATATATATGTTAAAACAAGACAAGGACCTTCCTCTTCACTCATATTAATGCGAGTTATGTCATATAAGCTACCTTTAGGAACTTCTCATATGCGAGGCACTGTGCTGTTTTAAATGAATCCTATTAAAAGTTTGCCAGCACTCCATGAGGAAGGCATTAAATCATTTTACAAATACAGACACATTTAACGTTTATATAACTTGCCCAAGTTTGCATATCTGTTTATATCTGTACACTATGGCAAATAGTTTTAGAATCATGAACAATTTAAAAGTGGCTATCAATATGTTCTTCCTCTTTTCATTACTGAACATGATGAATGCATGTAATTAATTATTTAGAGGATTTTTAAAAATATAAGCAGGAAGGTACTAAACCTGAGACACTCGGAATTGGAGAGTTTGTACTGGGAGGACTCGACACTGGAAAACAAAATAATGTAAATGTATCAAATGACTGGGAGTTATTACCGGCACATACACCAGGAATTTTAAAGATTTCTGGATATAAGCAGTAAATTACTAAACCTGTATGACTCAAAATCGGAGGACTGGTAGTAGGAGGAATCAGCACTGGAAAAAAGATAATGTAAAATGGATCAGCCACCTGGGAATTATTGTGTTCTTTTCATTTATATGAAGTATGCCTTTCATTCTTAACTTATTTAGGTAGAAAGTCTCAGCTTCAATTTTCTGGAAAATGGCTATTCCTTTTTACACATGAGAGAAATTTATATACATTGGTATATACATAACATGCAAAGACCCTATGAAAATATATAAAATCACAATAGCACAATTCTTTTTGTCATTTATCTATCAGGGAAATAAATCCAAGACAGAGTTAAATACTAAAATTGCTTCTTTTCAACTATCTGGCATCACTGATATTTAATGTCAAAGAAACAACATAATAATAATAATAATAATAATAAAAAAAGACAAGAAGGAAAACGATATCCATTGTACCTTTAAGACACATCGGCATCTCAGGCTCCCAAGTACTGTTACTGCCACAGACTGCAAAATTGGGACCCTTATGGTAAAACCCTGAAAGGCATTCAAATTCAATTCTTGCTTTGTAGTAGTATTTCCTGCTAAATCCCAACACCAGTTTGCCATTTTCGGGTTCTGGAAATGGACATCTGACCACTGAAAAGTAAAGAAATTCCAGAATTAATGGAAACCTGCGTTAACACAGGGACAGAAAAAATAATGCAAAGCAGTAATTTCCAGTGGGAAGAAACAGACAAGGAATGAAAGGCAAGTTGTTAATTAAGGAAAAAAATACCCAAGAACCCTGTATATGTATGTACATTTTAACTCCAGGGAAATAGATTTAGACAAATCTAGTAACTTTTTTCCTCCTAGAAAAGACTCACATTATAGTTTATTGGCTTTCCTACATTTTTTCCCATTAGTGACAAGTTTTGAGAAAGGTCTGACCGCCACATACACATTTGGGGTAAGTTCAAGAGCAACTTTTGATCGTCCTTTGCTCTAGGGATTTTTTTAAAGGTCATGCTGACACTGATTGCAGTACCCTGCTTTCCCAGGAAAGCAGGGAACACATACTCTTCTGAGAAAGTAATACTTGAGCTCAAACTTAAAAGTCGAAAAGCAGGTAGCCATGCACACATACGCAGAAAGGTCGTTCTCAGGGAGCAACAACATACACAAACAGAGATGTGCAAGAAATGGAAAGGCCAGTGGACTTAGGGCAGCGTTTTCCAAACATCTTGGCCTGCAGCCTAGAGATCAAATGGCACATTTTACCCTGTAAACCAGTATGTGAGCACGCAGGCCTGAAATACAAAAGTTAGCCTCATGCCAGTGGACTCTGCTCAATTTCCCATTCTACTCTGCTTCTTACCAAGTAAACTACTGGTCATGACCTGATAGATCGCTCTCAGGATCTACTAAGGGGCTTGGCAGAATTTGGAACCAAAAACCAACACCACAGGGTTGGGGCAGGGACTACACCAGAACATCCTAGGACGTTCAATCTGACCAACAGACAAGGGCCAGAAAGAGGAGAGAGGACTGCTCTTTCAACGAGAGGACTGCTCTTCCTCTGTTCCCCAGGGTTCTGACTTTCCATCAGCTCTCATTCCCCTTCTGCCTGAGGAACTTCCTGTAGCAATTCCCATGGTGCAGGTCGGCTCATGACAAATTTCCTTGGCGTGGGTTTATCTCAGAAGGTTTCATTTCATCACCTCAGTCTTGAAAGACTTCTCCTTGACGGAGAATTCTAGATTACACGTTTTGGGGTTTTTCCAGCACGCTAGCAGATACTGTCTTCCGGTCTCCACTGTTCCTCAGCACGAGTCAGCTGTCACTCTTACTTGGGGGAGGACACTGTGACATGTGTTTATTCTCCCCTCTTCCTGGCTGCTTTGCCTTGACCCTTTTAGTTCTACCACGATGTGTTTAGTTCAGTGGGGGTTTCTTGGTAAATTAGAACAATGTGTTTATCCTGCTGGGGTCAGACTTCCTTGGTTCTGTGAGGTTATTGTTTTGGGACAATTGTGGGTAATTTGGGGCCAATATTTATTCAAATCACCTCCATACTGCTCTTTCTCCTCTCTTTCTGAAGCACCAACAGCACGTATGTTGACTTCCTGCTCTTCTTCCACGGATCTGTAAGTCTCTCTCTTTCTAATCATTCGTTTCCAATCGTATTCTCCTGACTTCAGGTTCACCGATCTTTTCCCTGTCGCGCTACACTGCTGTTAACTGCACTAATGGTTTTCCTTATGTTTGCTAGACACAGTTTACATACAGTAAAACTCACCCTTTTAAGTGTACAGCTGTATTAGGCCTGACAAATGCAAATAATCATGCAATCACCACAGTAAAGACACAGAAGAGTTCCATTACCCCCCAACATTTCCTCATGCCCCTTTGTAATCAACCCTCCCCACCTCCACAACCCCCCTCACCAACCAGCCAAACACTGATCTGTTTTCTATCTCTATACAGTTGCTTTTCCAGAATGTCATAATGGGACCACTGCCCCTGAGTATGGCTTGTTTCACTTAGCATAATGCATTAGAGATTCATTCTCGTTGCTGCATGGATTAGAGCACACTCCTTTCTATCGCTGAGGAGTATTCCATTGTGTAGATGTACCGTGGTTGTTTATTCACTCACCAGTTGAAGGACAAGTGGGTTGTTCCCAGTTTGGGGTGATTATAACTAAAGCAGCTGAATATTCTCACACAGATTCCTATGTGAGCGTATTTTCATCTTACTTGGATTGCTGAGTTGTATGGTAAGTGTATGCTTAGTTTTATAAGAAATCACCAAACTGTGTTCCAAAGAGGTCATATCACTTTTCATTCTTAAAAAAGTGTATGAAAGTTGCAATGCTTTATATTCTTACCAGTATATGGTGTTTTTAGCTTTTAGTTTTTGTTTTTGTTTTTTTTTTTTAATTTCAGCCATTCTAATAGGCATCTAGGTATCTCACTGTCATTTAAATTACATTTCTGTAATCGCTAATGATATTGAGCAACTTCTCTTGTACTTTTTGCCATCCATATATCTTCTTTGATTAAATAGATAAATGTAAACATTTTGCCCATTTAAAAAAAAATGAACTGTTCTGTCTATCTATCTATCTATCTATCTATCTATCTATCTATCTATCTAGTCCATTATTAGGTATGTGTTTTGCAAATATTTTCTCTCCAGTCCATGGCACTTTTTAAAAAAATTCTTTTAACAGTGTTGTGTGAGTGACAGCAGACATTCTGAGCTCTTAAAAAGTCTGTCATTGATTTTTTTCTCCTTTAAAGGATCGTGCTCTTATGGTTGTATTTAAGAAATCTTTGGCTAGGTCACAAACTTTTCCTGTTTTCTAGTAAAACTTTTTTAGTTTTGGATTTTACATTTACATCCATTATCCATTTTGAGTAAACATTTTTATACTGTATTAACATGAATTAAGGGTTCTTTTTGATATTTTTGAATATTTATGTCCAATTATGCCTGTACTTTTATCATTTTTCCATTGAATTGTTTGTGCAACTATGATAAGATCAATTGGACACATCTGGAAGGGTCTATTTCTGGACTATATTCTGTTCCATTGCTCTATATACCCTTTCGACAATACTACACTGTCTCGATTATATGCTTTAATACTATATTTCATAATTAAGTCCTGAGACCAGGAAGAATGAGAGTTATAAAATTATTTTCAAAAATGCTTTGAGTATTTTGTTTCATTAGTTTTTTCATTAATTTTAGATTCAGCTTGTCAATTTATATAAAAAATTCTGCTGCTCGGGCACCTGGGTGGCTCAGTGGTTGAACATCTGTCTTTTGCTTAAGTCATGATCCTGGGGTCCTGGGATTGAGTCCCACCTACATCAGGCTCCCCACAGGGAGCATGCTTTCCCTCTGCCTATGTCTCTGCCTCTCTGTCTCTCATGAATAAATAAAACCTTTAAAAATATTTTTTCAAATAAAAAATAATTTAAAAATTCTTCTAGGATTTTTGTTGGGCTTGTGAATTTATTTTTTTTTATAAATTAATTTTTATTGGTGTTCAATTTACCAACATACAGAATAACACCCAGTGCTCATCCCGTCAAGTGTACCCCTCAGTGCCCGTCACCCATTCACCCCCACCCCCCGCCCTCCTCCCCCTCCACCACCCCTAGTTCATTTCCCAGAGTTAGAAGTCTTTATGTTCTGTCTCCCTTTCTGATATTTCTCACACATTTCTTCTCCCTTCCCTTATATTCCCTTTCACTATTATTCATATTCCCCAAATGAATGAGAACATACACTGTTTGTCCTTCTCCGGTTACTGTGGCCAAGTTCAAAAAGGGTGTTGCCTGAGTTCTCCTCTGGGATTTTGATGGAATCTTGTCTCACATTTAGATCTTTCATCTATTTTGAGTTCATCTTTGTGTATGGTGCAAGAGAGTGGTCCAGTTTCATTCTTCTGCATGTGGATATCCAATTTTCCCAGCACCATTTATTGAAGAGACTGTCTTTCTTCCAGTGGATCGTCTTTCCTCCTTTTTCGAATATTAGTTGACCATAAAGTTCAGGGTCCACTTCTGGGTTCTCTGTTCTGTTCCATTGATCTATATGTCTGTTTTTGTGCCAGTACCACACTCTCTTGATGACCACAGCTTTGTAGTACAACCTGAAATCTGGCATTGTGATGCCCCCAGATATGGTTTTCTTTTTTAAAATTCCCCTGGCTGTTTGGGGTCTTTTCTGATTCCACACAAATCTTAAAATAATTTGTTCTAAGTCTCTGAAGAAAGTCCATGGTATTTTGATAGGGATTGCATTATACGTGTAAATTGCCCTGGGTAACATTGACATTTTCACAATATTAATTCTGCCAATCCATGAGCATGGAATATTTTTCCATCTCTTTGTGTCTTCCTCAATTTCTTTCAGAAGTGTTCTGTAGTTTTTAGGGTATATTTTGAGAACCATTTGAATGGTAAATGGTTCTCCAACCTTTTATTTTCAGGTTGTAGGTGTCCTTCTGTCTAAAATGAGTCTCTTGTAGACAGCAAATAGATGGGTCCTGCTTTTTTATCCAGTCTGAAACCCTGCGCCTTTTGATGGGGTCATTAAGCCCATTCACGTTCAGAGTTACTTGAACTTCTTCTTAAAGGGGAGTTTTAAGAGTCCCCCTTAAAATTTCTTGCAGAGCTGGTTTGGAGGTCACATATTCTTTCAGTTCCTGCCTGTCTTGGAAGCTCTTTATCTCTCCTTCCATTTTGAATGAGAGCCTTGCTGGATAAAGTATTCTTGGTTGCATGTTCTTCTCATTTAGGACCCTGAATATATCCTGCCAGCCCTTTCTGGCCTGCCAGGTCTCTGTGGAGAGGTCTGCTGTTACCCTAATATTCCTCCCCATGAAAGTCAGGGACTTCTTGTCTCTTGCTGCTTTAAGGATCTTCTCTTTATCTTTGGAATTTGCAAGCTTCACTATTAGATGTCGAGGTGTTGAACGGTTTTTATTGATTTTAGGGGGGGATCTCTCTATTTCCTGGATCTGAATGCCTGTTTCCCTTCCCAGATTGGGAAAGTTTTCAGCTAGGATTTGTTCAAATACATATTCTGGCCCTCTGTCCCTTTCGGTGCCCTCGGGAACCCCAATTAAACGTAGGTTTTTCTTCCTCAGATTGTCATTTATTTGCCTTAATCTGTCTTCATGGTCCCTTAATTGATTGTCTCTTTTTTCCTCAGTTTCCCTCTTTGCCATTAACTTGTCTTCTATGTCACTCACTCGTTCTTCCACCTCGTTAACCCTCGTCGTTAGGACTTCTAGTTTGGATTGCATCTCATTCAATTGATTTTTAATTTCTGCCTGATTGGATCTAAATTCTGCAGTCATGAAGTCTCGTGAGTCCTTAATGCTTTTTTCTAGAGCCACCAGTAGCTGTAGAATGGTGCTTCTGAATTGGCTTTCTGACATTGAAGTGTAATCCAGATTTTGTAACTCTGTGGGAGAGAGGGCTGTTTCTGATTCTTTCTTTTGAGGTGAGGTTTTCCTTCTAGTCATTTTGCTCAGTGCAGAGTGGCCAAAAACAAGTTGTATTGGAACACGGGGGAGTATCACTGGTCCGTCCAGCTGGTCTTCTGGGGGAGGGGCCTGCTGTGCTGATTCTCAGGTGTTAGCACTTGGGGGAGCTGCTCTGCCCCTGCCTGCTGCAGGGCTCAGCGGGGGTTGTCTACCCCGTGGGGCCCCAGGAGGAACAGCCGCAGTTGCTATGGCAACTCTGGAAGCCTGGATTCAGCCTCCGCAGGAACTACGGGGCTCGGGGCTCGGGGCTCTCGGCTCTCCGTCCGCAGGGCCTGGAGGCTCCGGGGCGGGGCCGCTGATCTGCTCAGCTCGGGGCAGGAGCGTCCTCGCTGTCCTGGGCCCTCCCAGCCTCTGCCTGTCCCGGGGGAGGCCGGATCCTGGGCTGTGTCCCGGCGCCCTGTGCTCCGGGGCCTGCGCTGTTGGATTCGCGCTCCCGCCCTGCAGCTCCCTCCCTGGAGCCGCCGCCCGAGCCCCTCCGAGCTGCTCCGGTCGGTCCCGCCGTGCGCGCTGCAGCCCTTAGGGAGCTCGGAGCACTCTCCCGGGGCGCAGGTGCCTGTTAGTGTCCCCGGGAGCCCGAGGGCATCCCCGCCCTCCTGGGTCCTGCTCCAACTCCCTGCGAGCCCCTTTCCGCCCGCCCGGGAAGGTTGGTGCAGCTCCTGCTCCTCCGGGACGGGGCTCTCCTGTCCTGGGGACACTCGCCCCGGCCTCAGCCCGGCTCCTCGCGGGGCCCCTCCCCCTCGGAGGCCTTTTGTTCCTTTATCTCTTTTTCCCCGTCTTCCTACCTTGATAGAAGCGCGGACTCTTCTCACTGTAGCGTTCCAGCTGGTCTCTCTTTACATCTCAGGCTGAATTCGTAGATTTTCAGGATGGTTTGAAGGTTATCTAGGTAATTTGTTGGGGACAGGTGACTTGGGGACCCTGCTCTTCCGCCGTCTTGCCCCTCCCCCCGGGCTTGTGAATTTATAGATCAACCATGGAGAATTGACATCTTTATTATACCGAGTGTTCTAATTCATGCTACCAAATTTCTATTTATTAAGGTCTTCTTTCTTTTATTAAATGTTTAGCTGTTTTTAGCCATTCAAATCTTGCACATGTGCTGTTAGATTCATACACAAGTATTTATACAAGTTTGAAGTTGTAAATGGTACTTAAAAATTTTGTTTCTAATAGTTTACTGCCAGTATGTAAACATATAGTTGCTTTCTATACATTGATCTTGTGTCTTGCAAACTTGCTAAAACTTCAGTATTTCAAATCTTCTAAATAATCATCTCAAGGATTATATTTTATTTCTTTCTTTCCAGTATGCTCCTATTTCTATCTCTTGCTGAAGGTTGAATATGATACAATGCTGAATACAGTGGTGACAGTAGATATACTTGTCTTCTTCCTACCTTAGGGGGAAATAAATTCATCTTTCTTCATTAAATATAATGCTAGCTGTGGTATTTTTATCAGATTGAGATAGTTCTGTTTGATTCCTAGTTTGCTGAGAAATGTTATCATGAAAAGATGATTAGTCAGCTGCCTTTTTTTAAACTTCTATTAAGATGATCATGTGTAGTTTTTTTCCCCTTCCATATAGTCTTGAGACAATATATTGCACTGACAAATATTTGAATATGAATCAACCCTGCATTCATGGAATAAACCTTACTTGATTATGATGCATTTTTCTTTTCATGTATGAGAGAATTTGATTTGTTAACATTTTGTAAAGGAGTTTTGGTTCTATCTTTATTATGGATATTACTTGTAATTTTCTTGCAAGGTTTTTGTTTGGTTTTAAAATCAGGGCAATGCTGTCCTCACAAAATGAACTGAGAAGTAGTCTCTCTCTTGTATTTTCTTGAAAAGTTCGTACAAAGCTATTATTTATTCCTTCATATTTGGCAGAAATCCCCAGTGAGGATATAGGATCTAAATAATTCTTTTTGTGAGAGGTTTCAATTGTCAAATTTATAGGCATAAAGTCGTTGCCTTATTATTTTTTTAAATGTCTGCAAGATATTTAGTGATGTCCTCTTTTTCATTATTGATACTACCAATTCGTATCTTCTTTCTTCTTGTCAGCCTGACTAGAGGTTTATTCATTTTATTGACCTTCTCCAAGAGCCACAGGTTGGTTTTACTGATTCTCTCCATTTTTTTTTCTTTTTAGTTTTGTTCATTTCCTCCTTTATTGTTTTTTTCTGTTCCTAGGTTTTGAGCTTAATTTCTTCTTCTCTTCAGGTGGAAGCTTGAATCATGGGTTTGAGACTTTTCTCTTTTTCTAATATAAATATTTCAGGCCATAAATATCTTTCTAAGCAATGCTTTTGCTGTATCCCACAAAGAGTGATATTTTGATATGTTGTGTTCATTTTTTTTTCAATTCAAAACACTTTCTAATTTTCCTTGTGACCTCCCCTTTTACTCTTGGATTGGTAAGAAGTATCTTGCATAATTTTCAAATATTTGGGGCTTTTATAGAAATTTTTTATTTCTACATTCACTCCATTGTGATCTGATATAATCTGCACAATTTCAACTAAAAAAAATCTTTATCATATTTTGATATGATAGTTAAACTACCATAGAATATGGTATTAAAGGATGTTCTATGAGAACCTGAATAGAGCAAATATTTTGCTGTCATTCAGTGGTCCCTTTCTTCCAAAAGTCAATCCCTTCCATAGTCTCTCTGCTTTTGGTCACTCTCTACAACCTTACACATTATTTTAAACATGTTTTGTCCAGAGTTTATCATTCTTATTTGTGAGAGTGTTAGTCTTTTACAATTTGCTCTACCATTTCCTGTAGCCAGAACTCTCAGATTTCTTGTAATACAAGATAAAACTTACTTTTAAAGCCAGTTTATGCTGAGCTTTTTGATGTTTCCAGGAAAAAAAAAATCCTACCTCATGCATACATACAGGAGTATTTCACAATGTATTAATTAGAATGCCAAAAACATGTATGGTAAAGGCTAGGGAGTTCTATAAATAGAACTACTTTTGAGTCACTTTGACCAACATTAAATTATATTAGGGGAGCCTTAGTGGCTCCATTGGTTAAGTGTCCAAGTCGATTTCAGATCAAGCTGTGATCCCCTGCATAGCGAGACAGAGTTCTGCACTGGGCTTCCCACTCAGTGAGGAGTCTACTGGAGATTCTCTGTCTGTCTCTCTCCTTCTGCCCCTCCCCACCCTGCTCTCTGCACCCCCCCCCCAAATAAACCTTTAGAAAATTAAATTAGAAACCAATTTAATGGGAGGAGCAAGCACAGGTGGCTGTTTTGTTTACTTGGTAAGTATTTACCAAATATTTCCAAAATATTTACAAATGAAGAAGGAAAGAAATGGAAATATTACCTTTACACTCAGGAGGGTTACTACTCCATTCACCATCGCCAGAACAAATAAGCTTATTTTCTCCAATAAGTGAATATTCATCTGTTCCTTGTGAATTGTCACAGCTGTAAGTTACCACTTCATTATATTCAAATTCATCCTTGTGGCTATCGGTATATCTTCCATTTGCTATTTTTCCAGGTGGCTGACACAGTATCTCTTAAAAAGTAAGAATAAAAAAGGACATGAAAGGCAGAAGGAAAGGAAATGATTATGATACCTTCAATAAATTCATTACGGCATGAATTCTACAAGCTAGCTATAAATCCAATATCCATTTAGAAGTTTCTGTGAGAAAATGTATTATTCCAAATTCAAACCAGTAATGTAGACATGAAATTTTAGAAGAAAACCTTTTTTTTTTTTTTTTTTTAGAAAACCCATTTTCTTAAATACTTATATAAGATCTCTATATAAAATGCCTATGTTTATCTGGAAGGCCATTTAAGTTCTCATTATAAGAGATGCTGACAATTTATAAACAAAATCTTTTTAAAAAGAGAGAGGTGCTGACACTTTAATGAGAAAATATGCTTGTGATTAAAAATAAAACTCAGTGCTAGTTGAGAAATGCTTTATAATTTATAAGTCACTTGACACTTGAACAACGTAGGGGTTAGGAGAACTGATCTCTTCATAGTTGAAGCTCCTCATATTTCTTTGGACTCCTCCAAAATTTAAGTGCTAATAGCCTACTATTGACCAGAAGCCTTACCGAAAACAAAGAGTTGATTAACACATATTTTATAAATGTATTATATACTATATTCTTACAATAAAATAAGCTAGAGAAAAGGAAGTGTTATTAAGAAAATCATTAAGAAAATACATTTATAGTGCTGTACAGTTAAAAAAACACAAATAAGTGGACCTGCATAGTTAAAATTTGTGTTAGGGGTCAACTGTATATTCATTCACTAAATTAGTAGTTCCCAGTATCAAGATATTACTGTCTCTTTTTACTTTAATCCTTATGTCTACAGTGAAATTATCCAGATACTACAAATTGAGTGATAGCACAACAGACTGAACTCAGACATCTTCCTTTAAGCCAGATTTTGAAGAGATTTGCAAATTGTAAAGCAATGCCACTATTCTTTCCTTTGGAAAATTCTGTTTTATTAAAAAATATGTGGCAATATTAATATGCATTGAGCTTACAGTTCTTAAAAGTGAATTAATAATTATTTTAGGGCACCTTGGGTGGCTCAGCGGTTTAAGCACCTGCCTTCTGCCCAGGTGTGATCCTGGAGTCCCAGGATCGAGTCCCACGTCAGACTCCCTGCATGGAGCCTGCTGCTCCTCCCTCTGACTGTGTCTCTGTCTCTATCTCTGTGTCTACCATGAATAAATAAATAAAATCTTTTTTAAAATTATTTTAAAAACTTCTAATTCCATTATAATGAGTACCAGTAGACATAGCCCACATAAAGAAAAGCTCTCTGTGGTTTCTAATTTTAAAACATAAAAGGATCCCAACAAAAAATTTTAAGAACTAGTGTTCTAGATCCTAACAAAAGACTATACTTACTTGTACACAGTGGGGGATCATCACTCCAAACCACTTTATTACTGTCACTACTAGAAATTTCACAGTATAGACTTTTTTTTCCAACTAGCCGAAAACTAAATGAGAAAAGAAAAAGTTATTGGATTCGTTAGCAGTTAACAAGATGTATATAATAATGAATGCAAATTTTACATGGTTGTTTCTCTGTGCTACAGTAGTTTGTGGCAGAAGTTCTTTGAAGGGCATATAATGAGAATGCTAGCAGTATCTGTAATTTAACCAAAAAAGAGTTTCTGCATTTAAATAAACACTGACCTAGAACTAAGACATCTAAATAAATCTGTCCTGTCAGTCTGGCCACTTTGCTATCTCCAGGATTCACCTTATACATTTACTTCTATGCCTATGCTCCTGTCATTCTTCTCCGTAAGGACAACAACCAAGTAGAGAGATTAGGCCCTAGAGTTTACCTGCCTGGATCTGAGTCCCAGATCCATTACTCGCTTTCTATTTGAGCTCAGGCAAGTCTCTTACTTTTTCTCTCGTTCAGCTTTCTCATCTATGCAAAGAGGATGACAGTTTATACCTCAAGGGGCTGTTTTGAGGATTTGATGAGCTTGCATCTGGCATATACTGAGTGCTAGGTGAGTTTTAGTTCTTACTGATGATCTTTGGAGTATCTTTCTAGGAGTAGCTCAAGAATATGCCTATTCATTATCTTCCCTGATGATTTAAATTCACAGTACTCTCTTCTCCTTCTGAGCTCTCATTGTAATGATCATGAATCACTTTATTTGGCATTTCTCATTTACTATTTTCCGTTGACAATTCTCTGTACATATTTTGTTTCTCAATAAGGCAACAACTTCTCTGAGGAGAGAATATGTCTTAGATGTTTGATACTCCCTCAAAGTGCCTAGCATGCTGTCTCTATTAACTACATGTATACCTTGCTTTATTGCATTTTACTTTATTGCATTTTGCACATACTGTATTTTTTTTTTTTTACAAATTGAAGGTCTGTGGCAATTCTGCATCATGCAAGTCTATCAGAGCTATTTTTGCAACATTTGCTGACTTCCTGTCTCTATGTCAACAAACTATTTTTAAACTAAGTTATGTACATTGTATTTTTTAGAGAGAATGTTATTACACATTTAATAGACTACAGTATGGTATAAACATTAACTTTTCTAAGCACTGGGAAATCAAAAAATTATTTTCACTCACTTTTTTGCAATATTCTTTTATTGAAGTAGTCTGGAACCAAACCCCTAATCTTTGAGGTATGCCTGTACAGACAACATGCTCTAATATTTCTACTTCATCAAGTTAAAAAATAGACAATGAAATTACCGGTACACGTTTCCAGTTGACATTTCCCCCAAGGCTCACTCACTATTTCTCTATTATTATGCATTAGGAGATGATTCTGGGACAATAGGAAGGTAGTAAACACCAGGAATCTATCTCCCCATCTAAACAATAGTTGTACTCTAAGAATCTATGCAATGTAACTATTTTGGAACTCTGAACTCTGATGATGGCTGACAACTTCCAAGGAAAGACTTGGACAGGTAAATTGCATTGATTTCAGTCAATATCATCTTCACGCAGTGTCAGGTATGCATCTCCCACTACCAGAAGGCAGGTGTGTATGTGTTCCTGAAGCAGTTTGGGTGAGCCGGAGGGAAGGGCAAAAAGGACCCTGTCCTCCAAATATTGGGAATCTGTGCTTTTATCACTGAATTCTACTTCTGATCACAGAGAAGCAGTCAACGAGGTGGGCAGCCACTCTTGTAAGCCTCTTTTTAACAGTCTGAAGTGACTTCCAGAGGATTCAACTTCCAATATCCTCTGCTCTCCACATCATTTTTCACCTTTTCCCTCTCAGGAGACAGACAGTGAAGACTAAAACACTGAAGAACAACTGCATATGTGGGGGAAATTAAAAGTGAGTGTGCATGACCAGGGAAAGGCCCGAGACAACTGAAAAGACCTTCAGTTTACATGTCAGGCTGATCCTTGGCCCAGACATGTGCTACAACAATAATATAAAAGAGCAAGCCCTAGGGAAAGGGTAGAATCGGATTTCCAGAATTACATTAGTAGATTCAAATGTATAGTTCAACAAAACTTACAAGGCATAAAAAAAAGAGGTAAGTTTGGTCCATTCAAAGGAAAATGTAAATTAACAGAAATTGCCCCTAAAAGTCCTAGCAGCAGATCTACTAGACAAAGACTTTAAAATAACTGCCTTAAAGATGCTCAAAGAACTAAAGAAAGAAATGTAGAAAGTCAAGAAAACAATGTGAGAACAAAATAGAAACATCTATTAGGCGACAAAAAAAACTAAAATTAAACTAAAGTGAAATTCTGGAGTTGAAAAGTTCAATAATTGCAATGAAAAATTCATTAGAGGAATTAAATACAGATTTGAGGATGCAGGAAAAAGAACTGGCAAACTTGAAGAGAGGGCAATGGAAATTATTGAGCAGAAAGAGAAAAGACTGAAGAAAAGTAAATAGCAAAAGGGACTGTTGGGACACCAATTAGCAGACCAAGACATACACTGTAAGACTCTCAGAAGAAGATAGAAAGGGCACAGAGAATATTTAAAGAAATAATTGCTGTAAACTTTCCAAATTTGATGAAAGATGTGATTATAAATATCTAAAATGCTCAACAAACTCCAAGTCAGATGAACTCAAAGAGACCCGTAGTAAGACACATAATAATCAAACTTTCAAAAGACAAAGAGAGAATCTTGAAAGCTAGAAGAAAGAAGTGAATCATCACCTAAAAGGGACCCTAAATAAGATTAGCAGATTTCACATCTGGAATGTGGAGCCTAGAAGACAGTGGGCTAACCGAATGTTCAAAGTATTAAAAGAAAAAAAATTTCTGGCAACCAAAGTTCCTTTACCCAGCAAAACTGAGTCAGCTTTCAGCTCATGGTTGCCTTATACTGTGAATGGTGGCACAGTCAGCATGACGCTCTCCAAGCAGGGACCTAAACAAATGGCAGGACTCCACAGGGTTTAGAGCCTTGAAATGGGGTCGCACTCCTGAAATAAAAATGCTGGTCACAGGGGATCCCTGGGTGGCGCAGCGGTTTGGCGCCTGCCTTTGGCCCAGGGCGTGATCCTGGAGACCCGGGATCGAATCCCATATCAGGCTCCCGGTGCATGGAGCCTGCTTCTCCCTCTGCCTGTGTCTCTGCCCCTCTCTCTCTCTCTCTCTCTCTCTGTGACTATCATAAATAAATAAATTCAAAAAAAAAAAATGCTGGTCACAGACTGGGTGAGCACGGAGAGAGGTCGGAGACCTGGGAAAAAGGAGGAATTGACTGCTTTTCCCTGAAGGTGTCCTGAGGAGTGGGCCCTCCAGCTAGGGGCTGGAGATAGGGAGGCTAACATTTTCATTCTCATCCTCTAACATGATGTGGAAAGCCTTCCGGAAACAAAGCCATACAGAGCAATCTGGAATAGATTACTTAGCCTGGATCCCTGGCAAGGGTGGTACAATTCTGCCTTAGAGAAAGACACATGAGAATCAATGCAACAGGCCCCTCCCCTAGAAGATCAGCAAGCACATCCAGCCAAGACAAAGTTTACCCATCACTGAGAACTGTAAAACTCCAGTGCTAGGGGAAAATAGGACATAGAATTCAGTTTTTTCCCCCAAGATTCTTTAGTCTTTCAATTTTAATTTTCTCTTTCCTCTTACAATAAATTTATTTTATGAACTCTTTTTTTTTACAGGATCTTCTTTAATTTTCATCCAAAATACACCTAGAATCTAGTGTATGCCTCTGTTCTCTTCATCTTTCTGATTATATTCTTTTTTCTACTTTTTTGTTGTTTTTTTTTGTTGCTGTTGTTTTCTTTTGTTAAAGTTTTTAAAAATTTTCATCTTTATAATTACTCTCTATCCTTTCAATGTATTAAATTTTATTTCTGTATATATGCAAGTTTTTCTTTCTTCACAATTGTGAGATGTAGTTTCTTCTAAAAAAACCAACCAAAATACCCTCAGGATATGTTATATTACTCTGTTTTGTTCACCTATCTGTTTATATATTTTTTTCTGCTTGTCTTTTAATTTTCATTTTTACAGTTACATTCTATCCTTTTATTGTATTTAACTTTACTTTTGTACATATATAAGTTTTTCTTTCTTTAAAATTTGGGGATCTGTTTTTCTAACAAATGGACCAAAATGGGATGCCTGGGTGGCTCAGTGGTTGAGCATCTGCCTTCGGAACGCATGATCCCTGAGTTCCAGGATCGAGTCCCACATCGGGCTCCCTGCAGGGAGCCTGCTTCTCCCTCTACCTATGTCTCTGCCTCTCTCTCTCTCACGAATAAGTAAAATCTTTAAAAAACAAACAAACAAAAAACAGAAAAAACAAATGGACCAAAATACAGGATCCACTGTATTGCTCTATTCTCCCCAACCTTTTTTTTTTCTTAAAAAAATATTTATTTATTTATTTATTTATTTATTTATTTATTTATTTATTTATTTATTGGTTTCAAAGCTCTTCTGATTTGTTTAGTGTATATTTCTCTGGGGCTGTTGTTGCCATTTTAGTATTTTGTTCTCTCACTCATTTATTCATCCATGCACAGAATGACAAGATGGAAAAACTTACCTCAAAAAAGAGAACAAGAGGCAGTACTGACTACCAGGGACCTAATCAGTATGGACATATATAAGGTGTCAGAACTAGAGTTCAGAATAATGATTATAAAGATACTAGTTGGGCTTGAAAAAAGCAGAGAAGACATTAGAGAGTCAAAATCAAAAAGCCTATTAATGAGATGCGATAAAAAATAGAGGCTCTAGCTGCTAGGACAAATAAGGCAGAAGAGAGAATTAGTGATGTAGAAGACAAAATGATGGAGACTACTGTAGTTGAGAAAGAGAAAAACAACTACTGGATCAGGAGGGAGGAATCTGAGAGATAAATGATACCATAAAGCAAAACAATATTAGAATAATTTGGACCCCAGAAGAGTAAAGAGAAAGAGGGGCAGAAGGTATATTGGAGCTAATTATAGTGGAGAGCCTCCCTAATCTGAGGAAGAAAGCAGACATCCAAGTTCAGCAG